GTAAAAAAACATTTTGTATTTGTGTTAAAAATCGGTCCTTGTTAAAAATTTTTGTGTTAAATAATCTACATATTTATATGTAAATTTAACACGTCTACTATGTTATCTGACCTTAACAAAATGTAAAAATATTAAAATGTAAAAATATTAAAATGATTTAAGAAATGTGTTAAAATAACATACAATTCATACGTATTAATTCATACGTATTTATTCAATATGTTAAAATTTACACAAAAAAAATGTTGGTTTTACTCTATAACAGGAGTGGGGATGACTTGTTATTATTCTTTGTGTGGTTTTGGCACAGTCTCGAATTTTGACGCGTCTCAACATGTTATTTTATCATAAAAATTATGTTAATTCTAACACACAATTAACTTCAAATTAAGATCAAGAGTACATTTCTCTTTTGTTGAAATATTAACATAGTGTCGGTGTTACTATTTAACACATTCATATTACGTTAAATTAACACAAAATTTTGAGTGGACCGTTTGGGACATGCGATTTATGTTAAATTCAACATATTTTTTCCAACAGTGTACGTTTATTTATCATGATTTAACTTGTCTAATGTGAAAAAGTTTTTCTTATGTTCATCATGTGTTCGTATGATTATCATTATTCGTATCGTTTATGTTAATGATTGTTTTTACAGTGATTGTTTTATCATAACTTATATGTAAAATTTAGTTGGAAAAATTTGCAGAAAATTTAGATATACTTGCCGAATAAAATTAAATGTTTGTATTTTGAATCTTGTTAAACAAATTTGCGGTTTCTATTGAAAATGACAACATTTTAATTGCAAATTCCGTATCTTCTGCAAGTCGCCGTTCTACTGCGATAACTTCAATGCATATTGATACATATCGTAAAGTGGGCAAATGTATTTAACTCTTACCATTTGAATGTTATAATTGAAAATCTTAAGTCAATTCTATACATACGTTTATACGTTACAAAACAAATAATATATTTATTTTATTTTTCTTTATTTGCATATAAACTAATCACTTTAATCGCATTTGAAACTAAAAATAGATTTCGTTTGACCGTTTATCATTAAATAGAAATACGTATATAACAAAATGTTTTACAAGTTACAATATAATGTCATACGATATTTCAGATCGCGAATCGTGATAAACTTCGTAGAGAATATCAGATAATTTTATTATTACTTTATTATCGTAATTTCCTTCACCGAGGCTAATGTCCAAGTTCCAATGCTTTTACAACTAGCCACAAGTAAACAATCGTCAGAGCAATTTCTTCGAATACTATTTTTAATATATAATGAGAAAAATATATTCTAAGTCTACATCAATGTCAGAACGATAATTTTGAGAAATTTACACATTATTTAATTTTTTTACAATAAAATGGTAAATATTATCATAATTTAAGGAAATACATATTCTATGTCAACATAGAACAACAGCAAGAAGGCATTATTATAATGACTAAAGTGGAAAATATTAAATAATTTATCAAATAATTTATCAAATAATCAAATATCAAATAATTTATGCTTAAAATCAAAATGCAAATATACTAGTAATTCTTGTTTCTTGATGCTGCGTGAATGCAAGACCACCACCGAAACGATAAGCCGAGCAGATAACGAATAATACTTTCTTTCCGCAATCTGCAAAGCCTAAGAATCCAACACAATTGACAATAACAGTATGGTCTTGACGAAATGGAAAAAGTCCCTTGGGGGACTCTTCTATGCAAAGGATCTATTCCGAAGGGTTCAAGCGTTCGGGCGGAGGCTCACCCGCTAGGAGGAGGAGGCCGAGATAAAACCGGGAGGAGGCCGAAAACACCATGTTCGTTCACCCCGTCAGCATGCACCGTGAAATCTCGCGGCACTGGCAACGACTCGCCGATTCGTCGCCAGGAATCAGCGAGGTAATGCGAAATGTTTCTGTTACGGCCGGTGATAGACTGAGCACTGCCGGCTCGGTCGACCATGTTAAATAAGAGTCCGCCGCTTCTATTTCGCGACGTGCGATTGACTCCGCGTAATCGCGTCGACAGCGGGAAGGGAAGAACGATTTGTTTTTCACGACGGCCCGCGGAATCAACGTGCCGAGTAACGACTTCAAGACGCTACCCTGAAAACCCGGGCAAAAAAATGGGCGAATTTAAAAACAACCGGTCCGATAAGAGTCCACGCTAGATCTAATCGGCAAATCCGAGGATCGCCTGATCGCTCAAATCCTGTACGTCGCGTGTACGGTGACAACTGGGAAATCAATTGAATGAAAATTATAGACGGTCGTTCAGGAAATTTATTATTTTAAAAATGTATTGTTTCGTTAATGGTGTACGCAGGTTGGAAAAGTTTATATTTATATGCGGCACTCTTGGTCACTCTTGGTGCTGTGTACAGATTTATGTTTTATGAATGCAGCTTTATGTGCGTTTATCTCGAATATGTTATTCAGTATATGTTATTTAGCAGTCCGTTTAATTAATACAGGCGGAAATCTTTTGAATATATATCCGGCGATGTGTGATGAATAACTTTACGGTACCTTCCTACCGCCGCGCTTTTCGGTATCCCTCAACTTCCGCTTTGCAAGATTATTCACTGTGGTTTTCTCCAACGTAATCGGATCAAACGACTGTAATCCGCGACAGATTTGTGGCACAATTCGCGATCTCATTTCCTAAATTGGCTATTGAAAGATTAATAACATCCTGTTTTTGTTATCAATATGTGATAGAACGACATCCTTCTATCAATGGCTGATCCTATCATAGGATGATTACTGGATCCTTATGGCTTCCATTATCTCTAGACTTTATTTGCGGAAACAAAAAAAAACCTTAAGTAGTTTGAGAAAAAAACACGGAAACTGTACATAAAATCTATATATGAAAAAAGAAGTAATTATATAAAATGATATCCTGTAAAAAAATGTTAATTTGTAATACTAATTAATTATTTGTATCACCATCATATTTATGCATTTTCACGCAGATTTAAAAAAATTAAAACAAAATGCATTTAAAACAAGGCATTTTTGCATTTTGAACAATTGTTTAGACACTTAATAGTTCGCTTCTATAAATTAAAAAATTTAATTTTATTTACGAAGAAATATCAAAATATTAAAATATTATTCGACTTGTGCTGCGGCATTAAAGAGAGAATTTCATCGAAACTGACAAGGCGTTCGATTTCTTAAGTGTTCCGCAATGGATAGTGGTAAATGTATAATAAAAATCTTCTTGCGCGAGGCAGGGCATTAGTGTTGAGCGGGATTTAGCGCAAAACATAATCAGAGACGGGATTTTTGCAGGTTTTCGCTCTAGTGAAATATTTATACCGACAACACAATACGTTCATATTTTCCGACTAACAGTGTATTGTATTACGTAAGAATGATTGATCGCGCGAATCAAGGAATCCGATCCGAGTGTTTCCCTTCCCAATTAGTTCTCAGTTCTATTTGCGGTGTGTTTTCCGCAATTTGACTTTTTGTCCAAGCAAATCGGTGTTGCACGACCGATTGTGCGTTACATCTCCGATAAAGGACCCAAGCGATGCGCGTGCAACGCAAAGTGTCACGCTCATTAAAATTCATGCATTAATATCGGGACGAGATATCGCTGCTAGAATTCTGGAAAATTAACGTAATTGGTCACGCTTAACAATGCAACGTCGGTGAACGACGGAGGCATAACGTTACTGCTCGGCTATTGTTTGTCGATTGCACAACGCCAGAAATTGAGATAACAATCGGCTAAGGTAATGTGTGCGATACAGCTCGCAATTTGTGGTTACCCGATTGTCAACGTATCATCAATCACGATGTGTACAATGTAACCTGTTGTTAGCGATATAAATTGGAGGGTGGTGAAGGAAATAATTACAATCGTCTTGTGATCTTTACGCGCATCTCGCGCGACATTTAACGCTATGAGAGGTGATTAACTTCGTTCGTCGGATTGACGACACGCGAATTTCATCCGCTACTGAATCTGATCTCTCTCGTTGTAACGCGTTGACTGATTAATTGCCGAATAAATTAAATGCATTTTCACACAGCTTACTTCTTTTATTCTAATTAATTTATTCCGCAATTGGGGGATTTTTATAATAAACGTTACATAATGAATCATTACTTTTTATTGACGAATTTTTTGTGAAAACTTATATTGTGTAAGAAGTTTATTTATCTATATATTACCATATATAGTACGGAAATATTTCAAAGAAATTTCAGAAATATTTTATTGAGTGAATGGATCGTATCACGTTGCAAAATTTTGCAATAACAAAATTTCTGCAATTCTTGTACTTGAAATCCTACAGAAAAGTAATTAAAAAAATCTATCCTTTAAAAAAAATATTGCTAAAGAATTACTAAAACATTTTTGCCATTTCAGAAACCTTTCAAAAGTATTTCAAAAAGATTGCAAGCTTGCTAATTATTTTCCTGTAAGATTCCAAGTATAAGAATCATTTTGTTATTGCAGAGTTGTTGCAGAAATACTTGGCAATGTTTACAGAAAATTTAAGTCCATCAGATGAAACATTTCTAAGATGTTCCTTGCTACAAAAATACAATCACGTCTTTTGCACACAGATAAAGAGATTATGTTTGTTATTGCTTATAGCAATTTTGATTATATAAAGAGTCCGACAATTTTTAACACGCATGCGAGAAACGGACTTCTCTTAGTCATAACCTTAGACATAATTATTTTTTCAATTTTATTACATATACGTAATGTGAAAGGTTGAAATAATTTTGAAAAAATTTTTTGTAAGAATCGGTGTTACATGAGTATTAAATATTTATTTAGTAATTAAACTATTAAAGCCATTATATAGAACTTAGTGAAAAAGATTTTTTATATTAATTACGTATGATTATATATAATTATGTATTAATACATATATTTATAGATAATCATGTATATATTATTATATATATTTATATATAATTATGTGTAATAATATCTTATTATATTTAATTGTATATAGTTATATCTAATTATATATGGAACATTTGTTACTGGATATGACTTAAAAATCACCCGTTTATAATTTTATTCATCATAATTATCATAATTTTTAATTTAAAAAGATACATAAATTAACAACAATCTTAGATTCGGTTTTTAGATTCAAAATTTTGCTTCTGAAATTTTACATAAACTTAAATTCAAAGAGCGCGAGTCTGAAATGTCGCTGAGAGATCCGAGGAAACACCGATTGCACGCTTGCGTAACGTCGACGACGTTGTTGTAAGCGCAACTGAACCGTTCTGTAAAAAAAAAATCACAGAGAGGAGAGCCGGAAATTCGAAATCGCATCGTCGTCGTTCTCCCTTCCAAATGGAACGACGGTTCATACCGTCATTTTCGCTTCCGATACGCTCGTTTCCCGCGCGTGGATAGCGCTCGTGTCGCGATAAGGGAGTCTCCCGCGGTCGAAAAAT